CGTGTTTGTCAGAAGACGGTCAGCCCGAGTTCGTGGTGACATACATATCAAATCCACGTGCGACTGTCCTATAGTTTTTAATATTTTGATAATGTGACCTAAATTTAAGGAATCAGTCTGATAGTATCTGTGTACAAGGATATGAGAAATGAACGTGACCGTTTTACAACACTTTTCTGACTTCATTTGCATTCTTTGCGCGGAACGCGTAAATTGACGACAATGTAAATTCCTCCTACTGCAAAGCTTCGATTAACTGGATGATTAATGAACAGTAAACTAGAAAGGATATGAAAGGAAGCGGTCGTGAATTATTTAAGGCACTGTCTCGAATTCTTCTCGGAGGAACTGAGGAACATGCCCTTAAAATTTTGACTCACCCTGTATACACCATGATACGATGATTTGATTGTTGAGTTTTCGTAGTAATGTACTTCTGTGTACGCAATGATTTTTTAATATCGTTCATGTAGAATCCACCTGTCGGGAGTCTTTCCCATAGCCAATTACTGCCCGTGTAATGTTTGTCGTGTTGAATATCGCCCATTTTTATGTTCTGTCTTCACATATCTTGACAGCCATGACACCAAAACGCTCGTCATCATCGCATTTTGCGTTACAAGCCTGAACTTAGTCTTGGTACGAACCTGGCTGTTATGGAAAGGTTGAAGCAAGGCGAAGAACTTTTTCACTATACGAACAACGGACTTCGAAGAGAGATTTCAGTATCAGTGTTTCCCGTGGTGTGACATTCGGAATACGAAGATTTGACGACTGATACTGTCTGTCTAGGATTCCATCACATTGCATTCGTAGTTTATAATTTACGCGAGAAACAGCCCGTATGCATTTTTAGGCTTACTGATTTTAAGCCATCCTCGCGTCACGAAGGTTAGGATTAGAAATTTCCGCCTGTACGAAGTTTTATAATGAAGTTGATACATTCCGCATGGCTTGTCATCCGAACGCGAACTAGTTTATCCGAAATGCGCCGTACAAAATCGAACACGTGCAAACAAGAACACAAAGGACGCGTAACGTCTCACTTAGTGAAACGAGAGGAGGTGTGAAGATGACTTTTTGGGGATGTTGACAGACTGCGAATACTTCTCAGATTATATCCCTTTGGTGTATCGGTCAAACACCATCACACTGACCGTATTTAACAGCGTATTTCGGAAACACCAATTTGGTCGTGACTCCTGGCGTGCAGTGCCTCGAAGGCAATGGATGACAGACTAATCCTGAAAACCGTCTGGGATAAGGGGTGGTCAGAATGAGCTCATCGCAGTGTGGACTTCGAAGGAGAACATGTGGAAATTGATGAAAATGAAGCATGAAAGATGTTGCAGTCTCGCGCTGAGGATTTGGCAGACAAAGGGTCGCACAAGTGACGCACTGTTTTATCCACAGCTTTGACAAGTTGCCTTGCTGTCTCACCTTTCGTAAGTGATAGGACTGGTGGTACTAGAGATATACAGAGTTGATGGCCCCAATGTGGGACGAAAGTTAAAGGCGAACTTGGTTGTTTTTAGAGAGCTGTGTACAGCGAAGAAGACTACAAAGGTTTATAATCCGTACGGGAATACAAACACGCACGCTTAAAAATTCTGAATTTTCAAATGCTCGTAGATGAAATTGTTTCTGCTAGGACAGAGGTTCCCAAAGTGTGGGAGGCCGCGAGTGGTTTTCTGAGGGGGGAGGGGCGTTTTGTTTGCATGAAAACGTTATTTTAACTAAATATGTAGAAACATTTTTAACATCCTTTGATTGGTTGAGGCAGTTTAGTTGTCTTACTCATAGCTAAATTTTATGGCAAATCTGTTTGCTTGCACTTGTTATGGAAGGGGGGCGTGAAATTTATGAAATGTTTTAAAGGGGGCGCAAGGTATAAAATTTTGGGAACCTCTGTGCTAGGAGCATTGTTTTAGAACAATTGTTAATAAAAGATTACGTTAATTATCTTACTTACGGTGCTTTTGCTTGTAATTGTGCAAAATAATGTGTATGTAACCGCATCTTGTTAATGAACAGGGTTCGAACTCCTTCAGGGTTCATTAATTTTTTAACCTTGTGGGCTGATGTAACGAATGTGCCTGTGTATATGCTGGGAAATCTGTATTTCCATAATCCAGAATTGCAGTGCTCTTAATTTTCGTTTCCAGGAAGAGTTACGAGCCGTGTCAGGTGGCTGAATGGTGAATAACCAGAATATATATGGTTTATTCACCATTCAGCCACCTGACACGGCTTGTAACCCGAGAGTCTTTAATCAACTTCAGTCGCCGCGAAAGCTTCACTTTATACAATATGTAAATTAATTTAATATTCTATATTCATTAAACATGATGTGCCATGAGTTAGCTTCCAGATACATACAAAATTATGGAGACGTTGCATTGGTTAGAACCCCATATTACTTCTTTGCTTTTAAATTTTATAGTTTCGAAACGTCATATCAAAAAGAAATTGGAGAGTAACAAATTTGTTTTCGAAGAACTGAAAAAAGAAATTGTCCAATTTCATCACGAAATACATGATTCTTTAACATTAGAGCAAATTTATTTTAAAATCTGTAAGTCGGAGAGAAAATATAACGTGTTTTTTTTTACCAGTTGTACTACAATAACACTTATGAAATTATTAAATCTGTAACACTCGTCACGTCTCCATGGAGAAGACCTCTTCTTCAGAAGCTAGTAGTCGCTTAACTAATCGAAAAATGTTCTACCTCTTACGAAACGCAAAGTGTTCAGAAAAGCACCGCTACGTGTCTCTGTCCTTAGCCAAATTAATCCAGCCTAATACTGTCAGCGTATAATTGATTTGCTTTTAACACAAAAGCAATCTGTTACACAAGAGATTTCCTTTTATGTTCAAAATGGCTCTTTTAATCATGGCCGCTGACCTGCGCGCTGATGATATCAAAGTTAGAGAATACATCGACTGTTCACGGAACCCCCATGTGTCAGTAGGCTTACTAAATTAATTAGTTAAAAGACATTTTATGATTCTTACGCGATCTCGTAAATAACCCTCGGAATGAACCGTGACTTTTTTTACACAGTCAGCTATATTTCTTCTAGACGGTCAGTGATGCGTCGACCGGTAATTGAGCTTCGATCGTCTTGTTTGTGGCCTTGCACAGGATCAGGATAGCTTGCACTGATAATTGCCCCATCTATGTTTGGTTTGATATTAGCTTACCTTGATGCTTCTTAGAGGCCTGAAAGTTTCCAGTAATGACGCTAGGTGGCAAGAGGATCTTTTTTTTTTATAAGGACAGCTACCGTTAGGCAGCGTTTAGAAGTAATTGTAATGTTGATGTTAATACTTTGAAATAATTTAGTCGGCTATGTAGCAGGACAGATGTTTGTAATTTTATGTGGAAAACGAATGCGAAAGGAAAGGAAAAAGATGAGTGCGAATGGAATAAGTAAAACGAAGAAAGGACTTAAGAAGATACGAAATAAATAATTCCATGTTTAATATCAACTAACCTCGAAAAGTCTGGGTTCTGTCAATAAGCAAATGGACAATCATTAGATCCAGTGGTTAAAGCAGGATACGTTTCTTTGACATCGCTTTTGGAGTTTGGCTTTGTAAGAAAGCTCTTTCTGTCCGCCTATGAGTCATACAGAACGCGAGTGGAAGTTGAATCCGTTCCCACGTTCGGTTCTCAGATTTATTTAGTGTATTTACAAGACCTCTCTTGCCTGTGATACAGCGTACAGATAATTTGGAGGGAGGGAGGCTTCATAATTGCTGTGGGAATGCAATTGTTCCTAATGTCATGGAGGAAGTAAGTTCAAGAAGAATAGCGAAAATCTTTCTCCAGTCTGGAGTGCACGTTTTCCAGATGTGTTCTTTTGTGCTTTTACGAACCTCATCTTGCACCGAGACAATTAAAATTTGTTTATTTACATCGAATGAATAAGCTCACTGATTTAATCTTGTTTTACTTTGACGGTAATCTTTGTCTTTCTGTTTTTATCCCGTCGTGATTCATCATACATAA